CTTAATATTACTAATTTAAACAAAATCTAATGAAAGAATTTTGGAACAAAAATATTTATTAAAGCTATAGATTTATATATATTTATCAAAGTTTTCATAAAATATTCAAAAAAAATTCATAGTAATATATTTATACATTAGTAAACATGCTGATACTGTTAACACATATAAATATTTAAAGTTAAAGTTATTTTACCGAGAGATGGTAATGGAGAGGTGAATAATTTCAATTTACTTTTTTCTTACCTAATGACATTTTATAATATATGAATGTATTAATTATTTATAACATATTATTACAACTTTCTTTGACTATGCGTAATTTAAATTATTTCACACATCACATTTTAAATTTTTAAGAAAACGATTCCCGTGTTTTAGATTAAATATATTCTTCTAATATTGCATTTAACGTTTTTTCTATAAGATAGTATGAAAGTCTTATTATAATGATTAATTGTTTTATTTTTACAAACTTATATAGAATGTTCGCAGGTTTAAAAATTGTCATACAGGTGATTGTATTTTTATAATTTTCTAAAGCCATAACTCATTTGTATTCATGTGACGTATAATCATGATATAACTATAATTTTTTTTTAAATGTAAAATATATCCAGAAGTAGATTGCATGTATCAGCTTTATTGATATTTATTTATTTTTTTACAAATAAGATTGCTGAACTTGAAGTGGTTGCAAATGTATTTACTGTTGAAATTCTATGCACTTAAATGTAATTAGGATTTAGGAAATGTGTATTATATATAATACTGTCAATAATTCTTGACACTTAACACATAATTGTTTTATTATTTATTTATTCATTGAACTAAATTATATAGAAATAATATTACTAAAAATAATTATTTTCCTATGTTAACAGTCAATTAAAGTAAATACATGAATATTTTTGATTATTAAGACTTCTTTTTTTTTATCCATAATGCTTCTTCCAACAGACAAAAAATTAGTACAAACTCTGGTTCTAGGTATTCTCTGGTATTTCCATTTATATGGTTTCAAGAGTCATAAAATGAAACGAAAATGTGTTTTACCTGGAAAGGAGTCTTTGAAGTATCTTGTTAGACAATTTGATTTTTAGAAATAAATATTTTTTCTGTACTTTTTAATACTACAGCTATATGATTATTATTTAATAGCACTAAAAGTTAATGACGATCATAATGACCTTTTTTATGAACTTCTTTATGAATCATCTTGTTAATCCAGTCCAGTGATCACTATATTGTTAATATAAATTAGTATAGTATAATTTTTTTATTATTTTATTTAAAAATTTATCAAAACAGTTAGGATCAGGATTATAGAATATAATAATGATAATTTAAGTTTTTCAGTAATTGTGTGCACAGCTCTAGCAGTAAACATGTAAATCTCGAGGCATGTAATAATTAATATAATTATTAGTGAGTGTACAATTTGATTTTTAGTGAAAAATTGTTTATTCCAATAAATCAAAGATAAAACTAGCGGTGCTCACGAAATCGTTGAGAAAAATTTGTATCCGCACACACACATATATCGTCAAATCCACACCACTGAAACGTAAAGTATGCAAAAATTTTCATTTCCGAATTTTTTGCGATTACTTTAATTTACCCTACAGGAAGTTAATAACTAAATTCTATCAACTCTTTAATGCGTATAAATTAATGGCAAAATCAAGAAAAAAGCAATTCTTTACATATATACATGTTATTTCTAATTATTTATTTCATAAACTCAATATTATTTTTAATATATTGCTAATCAAAATAAAATAAATAAAATATGATCAAAAATGTTGTTTGTATGTTTTTTTAGAAATGCTTAGATTGAGTCATTCATTAAGAAGGACTTTATTGTACAGATACAACACATGAGTGTAAACATTGAATGATTCATATTAAATAATACAAACGTGTAATAATAAAGAATCTTGTGAATGTTCAGAAAATAGTTCTTCACTTTCATTTATAATATCAAATGTCGATAAAGTTAAATTATTATATATACAATAACGAAATCAGTTTTTCATATCTCTTTACATAAACTAAACACTTCCAAATACAGATCCATCACGAGCTCTTTATCACATAAAAAATAAAACACAAACAATATTGTCTCTAAGCTATTCGGTATTCGGCCCAATATTAAAAAAGGTGCCGAATACCGAATAGTAACCGAATATTCGGTGCAAGCCTAGTATAATGTGAAATTATTTTGTTTATTTACAATATTTCCTGAAGAAGGGGAATATATCCCCGGAACTACTAATAAATAAATAATAAAATGAATAATGTTTTAGTTTAGAATACATATATATAATATATATGTATATATATTATATATATGTATATATATTTATAATTATATATATATATATATATATATATATAATATAATATTTCGATTTCCTTTTCCG